ACTAAGTGCCATATCCATTCTTTTGGATATGGCACATATCTTAACAGCTTCAGGGACGGTGACTCTACCACCTCCCTGGCAGCCCATTCCAGTAGGAAGTTTGCTCTTAAGTGTAGGTATTACAGAGCATATGAGGGCTTTGAACTTCAGTCATTAATAACACAGATGAGTTGATCAACATCAACAAGGATCAAGAATGGGCTTCCTAACACTGTATTTCCAAATTCAGAAATTTGATTCATTGAATTTACCAAAATCCCTTTTTCAGAGAAAGGTAAATTTTCTGACATTTTGATCTTCATCCCTACATTTAACAATATAATTTTTGTCATCAGGGTTGTTTAGTGCTTTTACATGGTCCTCTCATGACTGCAGCTCTAAGGCCACCAATTAATTTTTCTGCTCTTTCAGTAGGGCATACTATTTTTATATAGTCCCTCAAAAATCCTCTCCTCTCTGAAGACTCCAAACCCCATTTCTTTCAATATTTTAGTTGTATCAGAACTAAAATATTTCAATATTTTAGTTGTATCAGAAGTTTAAAATAAATAAATCTTTTAAAATTGATCTTTTCTATTCCCAAAAAAGGATCTGGCACTTTAAAGTTCAGTAGTGAAATGAGTGTTCCCAGGTGAAAATCCAAAGGATTTGAAAAAAAAAAAAAAGTACTCATTTAATTTAAAATTTTACCCGTGCTTGCTGAATTACAGCCCCTTACAACTAGCATGTAAAAGATTAAACTCAAGTTACATAACATTCTTGCCCAATAGTTCAGATATTAAGTAGCATAGCAAGACTTTATGTAGGATATCTTTCAGGAAGTGAATATTTTCCAGATGAGTCTAATAATAAAGATTACTCCTCAATTTCCAAATATTGAGATTACTGTGCTAACAGTATAGTGTGACTACTAAAACATTTTGTTAAACTTTGAGATTCTTTGTCTCAAGACTGAACAAATGCCAATTCAACACTTCATAATATTAACTTGAAGGTTTAAAAATAAACACATTTTCAAGAACAGCAAGTTAGAATGACCATTTGTAGGTAATAAGAATTACTGTCATATGTGGCATATTTTCACAATGCCATGAAGAATATTTTTCAATATTTTTCAATCAGATATTTGACCCTGAAAAATATATAGCAGAACACATGAGAACTCTTCCAGTTAAGCACCTGGTTTTTCCTTTTAATTTAAACACCCACACCCCTTAACACTGAGACTACCCAAAAACTGCACTGGTACTATACAGAATGGAGCGAGAGCACTCTTACAGGGAGGTCACAAAAGTTACTTCATATTTTTCAGTGTATACACTCCTTGTTGTTTTCATATTATTTAGATCCCCATTGGCCATAAGAAAAACAAACACTGCAAAAACTCCATTAGCTGCATCAGTATTAAGTGATGATAGTTATTACTAAGCCAAAAAGCTAATGAGAGTTAGAGCCTAGGGACAAATGAAAAACCTCTGAGAGGAAGAATTCCTTCCTCAACATCTTTAGGGAGGATCAAGTAGAACTGACTGTATGAATTAACTACTATGTTAATTGTAACATCTATCCATAAGCTGTGAATTCAAATGCAGACTGAGTGAGCTGGAGGCATGACAGCACAAATTTGTGTTGAACATCACCAGTTACTCTAGAGAGGAGCTGTAGGTTCTTGGGGTTTGTGATAGAACAGTTACTGGCTGAGAATACAGGGAAAACAAAGAAACAAACAAACAAAACAAATTTTATGGGAATAGAGACCAGTAGTTTTCAACTTCTATCTCAAGGATATGGATTAATTACTTTTAAGGGACCTGCAAAAGACATCTGGTAAAAACCAAATCTAAATCTATTAATATTACAAGTGCTGTATGTGTACGTTCTTACCTACCACTTTCATGACCAGTGACAGTAATTGAGAAAATGGCATGAATCTGTGTCAGGGGATGGATTAGGCTGGATATCAGGAAAAGGTTTTTTACCCAGAGACTGGTTGGGCACTTGAGGGCTCCCCAAAAAGGTGGTCACAGCATCAGGCTGGCAGAGTTGAAGAAGTGTTTGGACAACACTCTTAGGCGTGTGGTATGACTCTTGGGGTTCCTGTGCAGGGCCAGGAGTTGGACTCAATGATCCTGATGGGTTCTTTCCAACTCCACATATTGTAAGATAACAAATTTTTCAGGAGTTCCTTTCAGAAATAGGCTTGAAACAGATTTAGACATAGAATTCAAACAAATGGTTTGGAAAAAAGTGTCTCTCATTTAAAAGCACTTGTGCAGAATTATAAAATTTAAGTCACTCAAATAGCTATGAAGCAAAAGGACTAAAACCCCGCTAGCCACACATTTAGATTACTTGACTATCAAGAGATGAAATTTCCTAAATTGGATCTGAAAAAACAGACTGCAATTTTAAGAGGAACCCATAGGAGATACTATAGTAGAGATACAGACAATGCAGAACACCTGGCCAAATGTTTTCAGAAAGTGAAAGTTTCACTATTGCTTTCATTTAACGGTTTTGTTTGTTTGGTTGGTTTTGTGTCAGGCCAAGAGTTGGACCATAAGATTGTCATGTGAGGGTTTTTTTTTGGGGGGGGGGAGGGGAGGAAGGAATGTGATCTGGAGAACAGACCACTTGCCACTCCAGTTAGTAAAAGTAATTTTTCCTACATCAGTTGAACTCCAGATGTTCATTCATAATGAAGCTAAGCAACATGTGCGTTATTGTTTTCAATAAGACAAACACCTCAGAATCATGAGGTGGCATTAACTATATTAAATTCCTCTGTCCTAACATTAAGAATGCTGTAACTTCCAAACCAACAAAAGAGGTATGAATCAGAAGAGTACTGATACCCAGGTAAGGATAGATAAGGTAAGGATAACCTACTAGCAACTGACCAAAATTCATTTAATATATAATTTTCAAGAGCCATAATAAAAGCCATAATAAAAGCCTTGGAGAAGGCTACAGCTGGAGGTTTATATATTACTTATGAGAGTATTGTAATTTCAATAACATCGAAAACACAGAGATCTCACTTCAGATAATCATTAGAAGACTTGAGGAATGGTTGCACATTTTAATAGAAAAGTAAATGAACACAGTTTATGAAAATGTATATTTTTGGGCACTATGGGGTTAAAAAACCCCAAAAACTTACATAATGAACAGCCGTGTGCCTTAAATTGCCTGCAAAAAAAAATACTGCTAATGAAGCAGAGGTACTACAGGGATTGTTGACAGTATGAAAACCACCAAAGCAAAGGTGTCTTGCTGGCTCCCTCCTCTTGATCATTTTAACTGCCCAGACAGGTATGTCATATTGATATATCTTATATACAAACACATTTATAAGATAAGGAAAGACATTAAATATTTAACCTGAAATACCTCAGAATAATCAGGTATAAGTAAAGAATTCTGAAGAGAAGCAATATTAACCTCCACAATATTTTACCTGTTTAAGCCAAAATTTGTCTTGGAAATCCACACAGCTGGCAAACACAGGTGGACACCAATATGCTCCTCTGTGTCAGAAGTACTTAAGTAAGCTGAACCTAATGACACAATTTTAAACCATAGCAAGTTTTATGTTTCAGCGTCACTCTGGAGCTATGGTTACTCACTGCCTCAACAGAGCTATTGATGCCTCATTGTTTCTGCATTAAGATCAATAATTTCCTTTCAAAGAGCTCTTTTTCCCTTGAAAGTTCAAGGGAAATATTTCAGTGGATCTTAAAAAAAGCCTAGCATTTACAGAAGAAAAGATGAAGGGAGATTGGAATGTTGTAAGCAACATTAACTCTTTAAAACAATCATGCTCCTGTAAAGCCTACTTACATGAAAACAGAGATCTGTGGAGATAAAACAGGGCAAGTAAAGAGACCATTACTGACACATTCTAACACTTCATTAGTTAAACTGCTTTTAAGTGTAATCGTTATCTCAAACAGGAAATAATCTTGCATAAAGTAGACCTTGTAAACAAGTTTCTAATATCCCTCACTCAGTAACTGGAAGGCAACAATAAATGTTGTCCCATGAAGCATTGTACTGCTGATGCACACAAATTAGTTTTAAAGCAAACATGACATGGTGATAGATTACACCTGCTTATACCTGAAACATGGATGACCTTTAGGTTCTCAGAGTTATAAATCTGGGTTTCACTTACTAAAAACGTGCTCTAAATTGATGGTGAAACACGCCAGAGGCACTGCAAAGCAAAATTTTCCACTTCAATTTAGACACATTTTGTTTCCCAATTTAATTACAATTCACATTGATTAAAGAGAACTTTACATCTCAAGTATAAAACCCCCTAGACCTGAAAAGAAAGGTGCATATGGCAAACAAGAGAGGAGGGAAATGGTGTGATTACATAGGAAAGCATGCTGTTCAGACTTGATAATGGTTACCATGTTGCTGTACATTTAGGCCATGAAAGCTGCAAGTCAGGCAGTGTTTCTATGGAGAGGTAATTCCTTTTATTAGATTAACTAATGTAGCTGGAAAAAAAACCTGATGAGCGTCTGGGTACATAAGCCTTCTGAGGTCACCATGTGACCAAAAGCTTGTGTGACAGCCTGTCCCATTATAAACCAGTGTAATAAAAGACAACTACCTCCCTCCACAAACCTCAGCTGATATATATCATTTTACCACACTTAGTCTCTGCAAAGAGATGATAGTGAAAAATCAGGATACTGGTTTAGCAAGATTCATGTACTTTCATAATGCAGAATCTCTCAAGACTGTTACAGCACTTCATCAAAATGTCATGCACAGCAAAAAATCTAGGCCAAAAAAAAAAGCCTTGATATATCAGAAAGCATTACATTTTTGGGAACTCCCTAGATTGAGAAAGCAGCACCCTTACACTCTTATGTTAATTTTGTACTGTGGAAAAAGGCAGCAGGAAGAAATAGAATCCCCGGGGACAGGGAAGAACTTCATTATTGTAATGGTGTTTAATAAAAGAAATTTTTGTATTACAGAAGCTGTTTCTCTTAGAAACCATGAAGATGCGTGGGAGAGGAAGTTGGCTAACAATCATCATGAACAGATGATTCACCTGAAGAAGCAGAAATTATGTACATCCAAGGTACTGACACTGACTGTCTCCTGAATTAGCTTTAAAGATCAACTCTTCAGGAAAGTGTTCAAAAGCTGTGGAAAGGTCTCAGTGAGGTATCAGCTCTCAGCTGGCTCCTTGGCTTTCACCACTAGGGGTTCTCCAAGAATAAAGTTGTAGAGGAACATGCTATACAGTTTAGATTCCCTGACTTTCTTTTACAAGGTGTTAAAGTCTGCTTAAGAAATGTATTCTCATAAATCAGTTGCACATCAGACTTAACTGAGTAACTGCAACAGGCATAAGGCACTCCGGGCATGCTACATTTTAGCCACCTTCAGGCATCTCAAAAGATGACATCTAAGCTAATGAATCTGGATTCAGGGAGCCTTGAACATCTAAAAAGTAATTTATTGCATACTGGAAGAAGGTGACTTTAGAGATCTAATTTCAAGTTAGAGTTCTTCAGTTTAGTAGTTAGACTATTTCTTGTCTACCATGCTTGATATCTGGTCACAAAAAAAGTTATTACTAAGTTGGTTAGTATTGGGATCCTAAAGATGTTATTTAGGAACGTGGTTCAACATTGCTAAAAAAGGGCAGTGCTTTACATAAATTAGCTGCAGTGGCCCAGCCTATGAAATGCAGTACACAGTAAGCTGTTAGCTACCACATTTCATTAGCAAATCTGTCCAATCCCATTAAGCAGACCCCTGTGGCAATCAACAGTGGTGCAGTTTTATAATGCGATTATTTTCCAGAGAAAAATTGGAATTACTGTTTTCCAGCAGTACTCAAACATACAAGGATTTTGACTGTTGAGGATGATGGTAGAGAAAAGAAAACAAGTAACCTCCCACTATAAACCAAGAAAGAATGCACATGCTCAGCTCTGAGAAATACCTACTTTAGAAGGCTTTAACATACTGTTTTAATGATCAAACTCTGGAATCAATTACATTGTGCTTTCCTTGAACCTGATGAACTAACACCTTGTCAATCTCCTCTAGATCATGCCTACCATTTTCTATGCAGGATAAAAGTCCCTAAAACAACCAAAGTGGTTGTTCCCACTGAATAAAAGCAGTCCCTAAAACAACCAAAATGATAGTTCCCATTGATTAAAAGCAGTGGGAAAGAGACTAAACAAATGCTTAACAACTTACTTTAGTCAGTATCTTGTTGCTATTGTATTGAGGACAGCTAAATGAAGTAACACATAGACTCCCAAGCCTCAGAAGGTAAAAAAGCCAAGTTTATTAAAAACCACACACTTTTTTAGACAATTATGATACAGGTGGGCCTGGTTTTCAGTCAATATCCCTCACACCACCGGCTAATTGGACACACCACCCTTCTGTAAACATCCTTATGAGAAAACAACACCAGCTGCAAAGATTAGGAATTGTTTTAATTCCTTCTCTGAAATTTCCCAAAGCTTCACAGAGCAATGCTTGGGAAAGTTTATCTGACTTTCTCCTCTGTCCAGCTCCCAGCATCCACAACATCTCCCTCACTTTCTCAAATGGTTCATGGAAAGGAAAGCACGTATCTGTGGCCAGTGTCCCCCACTGTGATTAGCCTAACAGCATTTTGTAAGTCAAGCCACTGAAGCAGTCCAGCTGGAGGACGATGGTCCTTCTCGGATGTCCCGGCCAGCTATCCAGCACCGCTAGCAGTACGGAGGCACTATCCCGAGCTCCGTGGTTCGGGACAGCACCTAAGGCAAACGCTCTGTGCTATGACAGCAGCGTGACCTTGTGGTAGGATGTGGCTTGGCTTATGGCTACAGTCAGCAGAAACAAGAAGAGAGTGCTCTCCAGCTGTGGTGAATCCAGGTTTATTGGGTCCCACGGGAAACCAACAAAGAGAAAGAGGGAGGGCTTGCAACAGCTTACAAGGAGGGAGGGACACAGGGGAGGAGTCAGTCCTTGGACAAATAGAGTTTTAGAGGGGAGTGGGATACAAAAGATTGACATAGGGAGAACACCAATGGGGATAACTTGAGGGTGGGGCCCCAGCCCCCCCAGCCCCTGAGCCAATCACTTCACGCTCTAGCTGGAAGTTTCTAGAGAGTTCTAGAGAGAAGGGTGGGAGCACCGAGTGATGGACAGGGCACCGGGGAGGGATTTGAGAAAGGGTACATTGATCTCCAAAGCAACTGGGGAGGAGTTGGGATAACTGGCAGCACAAGGGAGGGAAGGGAGAAGCAGGGCAGAACCATTGCATGATAGGGGGAACAGAACAGACACAACACAACAAGCCACCATTCTCTGTGTCTGAGCAGAGAATTCATTCCCTCCCCCCTCCCCCGTTATCAGGTTCCAAAGGTTCAGTGAACCAAGCAGACAAAGCAAAGAGATTTCTTTTTGACCCTCCTGACTGTCTCAAGGTTGCTGAGCACCATGACAATTGCTGCCTTCCCTGCCAGCCCTGAAGGCCCCAGGCACCCAGCCAGGGATGTGCTGTTGTTGACTCTCAGGGAAGCCTAACAGCCTACAGAGCTGTCTGTAAAATCAGCAGGTTCTAAGTGGAGAACTTGGACCCAAACTGCTGCTGGACTGAGAGACTCAACACTTCCCCATGACTAGAGGTTTGAGGGAGTCACTGTATTCTTGTATATGAATGTGAGTCTAGATTATGATTGTTATATTGATATAGCAAACCACATATTAAGACCTGACTTGACCTGCAGAGAGTCCAGGTGATTAGAAATTGTAAAATTAATTGCATTGCAAGTGGTGTATTATGGAGTTATAAATTGTACTACATTGATTCTGCTTCTAGAAATCCTGTGCCTTACTAACTAAAATTCCATTCTATACTAACCCTAGTAGACTGTGAAGAAAATAAAGTTTTAATTGTAACTACAGGTTAGTGTAATCATTGTTATACCCAGCATCCTTAGAAGAACCTGTCTGTCCCCTTTGTGTCATATGACAGAACAGAAAGCAAATGAGCTTGAAGAACCAGAACAAACAAGTTTGTGCACTTCTAACATTCACATTAACTGAGGTCTTTAAATTCCAAAATAAGAACACTGTTTATACAGCTCCTTAGACACAGCAGTTAGATTTGCATGAACTGTCAGCATTTCAGGGTCAGACACAAATTGTGCCTTCCGAGACAGCAATTTGTGCCTTTGAGCCTTTACATTTTTAACTGAAGATAATATGTTAGGTGGCTCACCATGAAAAGTTTTTTTGTACCACAGTGCCAACAGAGGACTACAGAGGTTGTAGCCACAGTGTGCAACCAGAAAATCTTCATAGTAGCAATACTGACACTCTCCAGCAACACCCATAAAGGCCTCTTATATCTTACAATATGAATATGACTGACCAAGAATCCAAGGCTAGAAGATATCTGTATCTGATCTGTGAGATCGGATGCTCTAAGACCAAGCAGATGTGTAATATTTCAAACCAAGGAACAAACTCAAGCTATTATTACCTAGAAGTAATAATAATAGTAATAATTGAAGTTACTTTTCTTTTTATTTTTCACAGCAAATTTTCCTGACCTTTATTGAAAAAGGTGTTGCTGCTTTCCAGAACCATATTGCTCTTGCTTAGCAAAGCCCCATATTGTATATGTACATATTGTATACAATATGTACTCATATTGTATAAATTGTTGAAAGTAATTTAAAAGTAATGAAAACCACAAAGTTTAAGGTAAATGGCATGTCTTTGTGTGCAAATAAAAAGGGAAAAAAGAAAACAGTTAAGACTTGCATCAGCCAGGAGACTAGTACATTCAGCTGCTGAAACTGGACACAGATGTGGCCAAAGTTTTGACCTTTTATGAAAAAGAAAAAAACAAAACAGACTGAAGTTTTTCTCCAGAATATGACTAGGAGGTAGGGAGAGAGAGAAGGAGAGAAAGAAATCTCCCTTTGGAATTTGAAGGTCCTTTTCAAATATTCTAAAGTCTAAATGGCAATTGAGGTATCCACATTTTGACGAAGACCCAGAGTGAAAAAACCCAAACATCTCCCACTCACCACAAAAGCCTGTCCCCACTAAAGCCTTTGGCCTATGTTCTTCACTTCTGTACAAAGATAGTACCTGGATTCTCAGTCCAAGTAAATTGCATTATGGATCCTGATACCCCTGAGGAACTACTTTAAACACAGTCTCTAATACATAAAAGTTCTTCAGCATAAGACTAAAAAACTCAGTGCTTTGAAAAGAATGACACACCTTTACTCCAGCCAAGGACCCCAAACTGAACAACTGAGGGACTGAAAAGGACAGAGTTCACAGCAAAGAAAACTTACAGAATGGTTTTTGGGGGCAGAAAACAGTTAGAGGAGAAAGTTAACGAAGGAACTGAAAGATGAACATATGACAATTGTACTCTGCCAAAATCAGAAGGGCTTATGTTACATAATGTAAACATGTACATGCATACTTTTTCCTCTCCCAGAATCTTACCTTTTAGTCAGTACAAAGTCCTTTTCAATTTATTTTAAACTTTTTATATCTGTTTCTGAATTCTGCTGCTGAATTACCAAGCATAACATATAAAATATTTTTTACCTGTTAAGCTAAGATGAATGCAAAAATTAAGGTCAGAAGTAGTCAAGTGACAAAACACCCAAGAAAAACCAGCAACAATGAAAAAAAACCCCAACATCAAAACCCAAAGACAAAAACTTTTTTGCTGTCTTAGGGTAAATAAAAGTATTTACAAAACTTGTCACAATATTTGGAACTGTTTTCTTGCATTAGGATGTGACAGACTGGTTGCTCAGACAATTTTTGCAAAAAGAAAATAGAATCACAGCAGGTTCTTCAAATGTACCTATAAAATGTTAGCTAAACATTTTTACTGTGTTGACTTGCAGCTTACATGTGTATGACATGCTCCTAAGTTTTACTGTAACCAACAAAGAGAAACTAGGTATGAAAACTAATGTGAAAGAACACTGTGAGAAGTTACCATAAAAAGATGTTACAATCTTGTAAGAGGAGAACCAAAGTAGGAACAGATTCAGCAGATCAATAAGACCTCATTGAATACAAAGTAACCTGTAATACATGAATAAATTAGACAGTACACATGATGTCCTGTAAGTGGAAACGTTGCATTTTTCTGCAGAAAAAATAAAAGGAACAGTCATTTTACTGACAGGTTAACAACACAAGCCTTTAGACCAAAGCAAGTACTTTTTGTCCCAAGGGTATGTAAGGCTTTAAGGCAAGCCTTTAAGTACTGGGCTTTGAAGCTGTAAAGATTAATCCTGCCTGTGCAGCTAATAATTGTCCTCTGTGCCTGGGCTCTGACATACTACATTGGACAAGATAATCAAGCAAATATACCTACAGTAAAGCTGATAGAAATGTGACTAAGACAAACCAATGTATTTATTATGGTAACAGTCTTTTATAAACTCCAAAATGCCAGATTTCAGCATGTAGGGGCTTAATCTTTGCACAGGAAAATAATCAGACCCAACTCAGAGGAACAGAGGATGCAGAGTAATTAGTTCGGCAAAGGCTAATCTATATGGAAGACAAAACAGAAAATAGATTTTTAGTAACTCTTCATTACTAGCAATTATTTGAAATAACCAAAGTAATGTAACATTTTAAATAATACTAATCAGTTTTTAAAATTCAGCTAATTTTGTGTTTTCATTCTTGCTCTGTACTTGTCAGAAAGCTTAGCATGTCTTTCAAAACCTTATATTGCCTTTCCTGCCAGTGGAATGGCTGAGCTAGTAAAACAAATGGCCAGAATGGCACACTGCTAATCTAACAATTTGGGCCTTATATTTGAGATCTGGTTTAATAAACATATTCTGTTTTCAGCCTTTTGAGTCGAAAGAACAGCTTTAGGTTTATACAGTTTAGTTTCTTAAAAAAAAAAAAAAAACCCAGAAAAACAAAAACCGAAATCAAAAACCAAAAAACAACCATTCAATCCAGTAATCTGTCCATACAATTGCATTCAATTTTTCATTCCTATCTCTTGCCTTAGAAGACAAAAGGCAAACTAATTCTCACCTTTTCAATGTGAAAGTTAAATTACTAGACTGTGCTTTCAGTCTTCTTGACATTATAATCCAATTCTGGATGATTACTTCCACTTTGATGTAGTACTCTGATTGAGAATGATAGTGTAGAAGCACTGAGTGCTTTGGCTACTATCTTTTCACCTAAGAACACACAGAGTCCTTAGCTATTTTAGAAAACGCTATGTTGTTTAAAAAGAATCATCAATGTGACATCATTACTCAAATGGACCAAAAGGTAATCAGTAGCCTCAAAAAGACTGTCATTTCCCCATATTAATGAATTTTTTTCTCTTAATACTGTTTCAAAAGCAGAATAAAATTGACAAGAAAAGTTGGCACACATTTTTCCCAAACTGTTTGTGAGACTTAGTCAGAATCACTAAGTCTTTACCAGGGGCACTCTGTGATGCCTTGAAGTCACTGACATGATATGGATCAAGAAAAAGACAGCAGGCAAAGTATATCTGAGCCTTAAGGAGATGCTGAAGGTGGCTGAGCTTACTTGAAAGACAGGTCTGATCAACTGTGTTCAAAATTACGTATACTAATACTGCAGTTTTAGTACAATTTGTTAATTTGTTTAAAACAGAACAATTTGTGGATTTTGGCTGTCATTGCTGTGGAGAATTTTTCCATTCAAATTATATGAAAAGAAATCTGAATTAATTTTCTTTCTAGGTCTCTTTCTTTCAAGGCAGAAGATAAAAGCAAACAAAAATTCCTCTTTTTGTGATTAAAAATATCATGTTTGGTAAAGATGTTGGAGTACAATTTTATATATGAAATAGCCCCCAAAACAACTGGCCCAAGGGAGCCTCCTTAACCTAAAGAAATATGACATAAAGGCAGTTTCAAATGAAAGTCTTTTTGGGTAAGAGAAAGACGTATTCAGGTTAGTCTTTCTCTTACCCAAGGTTAGTATTCAGGTAGTCTTTCTGGGCAAAAAGTAAGCGTGTTTTTTACGTGTGCCTCTAGGTGGTGCTAACGCTATTCCAGTGGTTAAAAACACAGTTTTGGGAAACATTTCAAGCACAAGCAAAAAACTTCTGCTCCCAGCTTTTGAGTAGAGGGAAGTGCATCATAACAAGAGACCGCATATTGATGATTTGCAACTAAGGAGAATACCCACAATTAATTTCTGATAAATGTGTTTAAATAATTTAAAGGTCTTGTTAGAACCCGCAGAAGCTAATTGTTTCAGAAATGGAGTTAAAAGCCCTTCTTTCAGCAAATGTCAAAATAAAGAGCTGCAGCATGCTGGATATTAGTTTGCTTGCTATTTGGAGCAGCATCTTACACAAACACTAATCTATGACTGAGTTCATGTTTATACCATATTACAGCTTGCATTTTGGTTTTGCCTGAAAGTAGGATAGAGTAATTCTCATGTTGTAGGATCTGTGGCACTAGAGTCACAGCTCTGTCTACCAACATTTTTAAGCCTTTGAGAAACCAAGCCCTTGTAAGCCTTTAAGTATTTCAGTGAAAAAGCAAAGTAAAACTTTCTTTTTCTTCTTTTTGGAAGAGATTTGTGCAGAGTATGCAGAAAATGAAGAAGCCTTTTATGCCTGCAGTAACACAGACTCTGTTCTTTCATACTAAATAAGACATGATTATTCATTCAGACATGTTTCCTTTGGACTGTACTGTAAAATTTCTACATAGTTCAGGATACTTTTTTGTCCTCCTGCCTCATTCACACATACTTCCCTTGGCAGCCTAGGATACTTGGCATTCTGATGCTTACTTAATGGCTTTTGGATACCAAAATTGGGAACTCGCTTCTGAGTCACTGTTGTTGACTGATAATTTTCTTTTTAGCATTACACTTTCCACTTGAGGCGCATTACATTTTCCAGTTGAGGCAAGGTTCAGAGATAGGTTGTCCTGTAACTCACCTCAATGCTTTATTAAATTAAAAGGAAATCTATTCAAAGCAGTGTCTCATTTGTGAGATGTAGGTGGGCTGCACAGCCTGGT